CATTTATAAAGACAGGTAAGTCTAACAAATGAAGACTGAGACCTCTACAACAGGGTTTTTATGCCTGAAAGCAGATGCATGATTTAACAAGCAGGTTGTCAGTCTAGATTTTATGCGCAGATGGAGAAAAAAATGCGCAGAATTTTTGTAATGAGATGAAAAGCAGAAATAATAAGAAAAGATGAAATGAAAGCCTGCTCACAACCCCGCCCAGCCTTGCGAACAGGGTATGGTGGATTAAGAGTCCGGTTCAACGCTCGAGCAAGCGCTTTCCACTCAAGGTGTTCACAGCAACTGATAGGAACTCATATGGGGAAATTATAGAAAATAAATAATAAGATAAAGAGAATAAATTTCAACGCACCTCAATAAACGGAGCCCCACATACAGTACCTCAGAAAAGTGAATCTTCCAACCAGGGTTTTTGTTGACGTCGCAACCAGGAGAGAGAGAGAGAGAGAGAGAGAGAGAGAGAGAGAGAGAGAGAGAGAGAGAGAGAGAGAGAGAGAGAGAGAGAGGGCTGTGCAATTGTAACGCAACTGGTGGTGTTAGTGGATATTGTATCGTAACTTGTCGCTCTTGGTCCTTTTTCTGCTCATGAATACTGGAATACATTCGTCTTTAATCGACTGCCGTTTGAAAGAGAGAATAATGCTCCGGAGCGTCGATAACTAACTTTCATAAGCAATGCATTCGCCATTGTGCCTGAAGACCTGGCCTATGACATAGCACCACGACAGAAATTGTGCGAAACAGGAAACGTTTTTTGATTATGTGGCGTGCTTGAGAGAGCACATAAAGAATGCAGTGGTGATTCAGAAATCATCTCTGCACAAGACCATTTTTGAAGATACTACTTGGTCCGCGTCAGCGATATTGTCGCTTATCTTTCGACAATTTGAACTTAGACTTTGGACATGAACGCGTGCACTTGAAGTGATAAAACTTGGTACGATGGACGGTAAGGTATAGAATGACAACTAGCTGCGAGGAATTTATTGTCCAAGGAAGGATTCCTACTTTTTTCGGTCCTCCTCGTCACTGCTCTCAGCGCTGGCGACAAATATTTTTGCTCGGGATCGACTCTCTTGCTTTTGCAAGCTCATCTCTCTTCCTCTCCGCTGCCTGGCTATTTTCTAAAGAGAAGTCGATCGTGACGGTCGCCTTCTCTACAGGACTTCGCGTGGGCAGCACGACACCCTGTGTGGTTCGAATCAGACGCCGTTCTTTGCAAGATTTTATTTTGAACGACGACGACGCGTACAGTACGAGTCGTACTTGCAAATCTCCACAACGCGCTGGATACTCCGAGCGTTGAGCTGGAGGTAAGGGAGCTGCGATCCTAGCTTGATGAGCGATCCCTGAGGTGAGCGATCTCGGCCGTTCAGCAAAATGGAGCTGATTCCGAGTAGCCGATTACTTTCTTGTGGCTTGCGCTGCTCTTGCCTGCACAGCGTTACAAGATAATCTATTTTGATGCGGCGCTGTATCAATCAGAATCACCCACCTGTCGCTCTCGAAATCCACTCGAACTCTAGCTAGACCTTTCAGGTACTAGCAAACTAACTTGCTAACCAAAATTGGGATGAAATGGGCTGCCAAGTAAGCATTGGCGACATATAAACAAAGCTCAAAGATAAGCGACAATATCGCTGACGCGGACCAAGTACTTCAAAAAACTTACTCTCTTTCCTCTCGCACTGGATCTTGCAGGAAATTTGGGCTCTCCTCTGCCTCCATCTCTTTGTACTCGACTAGAGCGGCACAGGGAGGCAAACAGGAAGCAGAAATACAGGCTGATGAGCTTGAAATCAGTTCTTACGGCGCCGGGAGCTGAGTTATGACGGCGGCGAAAGGCTTTTGGTCTGTATCCTTTTGTTCAATAGCGAATTAGTAGGACAGTGAGAGGTCGTTGTACCATGAATTTTACATCAGACTGTCATCGAAGTTTTGTTTCAATTAAATGTAAGGGGCCTTCCGTAAATATCAATATTAATTTTTATTAGTAGAAAGGAAAAGGACATATGGAAACGAGTTAAGAGTAACTCTCCACCACTGTAACTAGATACTATTATACAGTCAGAAAGTGCAACAACTAGGCACAAAACTGACAGAGTACTCAGACATTCGACGTCCTGACACCTAGCCTCAACACATCTCCGTAGCGCTAACCGACAGCCTTCCAACTTGGAAGGTTCAAGGTTATGGAAAGACGAAAGAGGGGAATAGGGTTTTATTGCGAAACGAATAAATTTTGTTTCAACCCAACCTCATCCCCCCCCCCCCCCCGAACAAAAAACCGTTGACATACACCTGCATATATAGCAAAAGTTGCAAGTGTGTTACTGCTCCTACCTCCATGTGCATGATCGTACCAATGTTTTCTGAAACGAAATTGATCAACCCCCTCCCAGTACCCCACCTCATAACGAACATGTTTCGTATCGTAAAAAAATAGTTCAATATCAATTTTGTGGACGACCCTAAGACCATTGAAAATCAACCCATGAATCAAACCATCGGTGCTCTCACGGTTCACAACATCACTAGGTAAGGTACAATGTACACGTACTAGGCACCGGCAGATAATGCGGGTAGAAAAATTGGCAGAATTCGGTACTTTTTCTGATAAGTTTCATGCATGTTTGGTATGTGGATAAAGAAATGGAGCCGCTGAGGAATTGCCCGCCATAAGGTTTGTATGGTTCTGCCAGTTTCACTGCTTTTCGAGCAGAATCTGCCACCTTTTCGAGCAGAATCTGCCAGTGAGTAACATGTACGCCTGAAAACGATTTTGGAAACTACGTGTTCGTAGCCAAGAGCTTGTAGCGGATCATTTCATTTCATTTTTTTCACCTTCCCATCACATAGCATTGTTCAGTATTGACATTCCATGTGGAATGTTTATGTACTAAGTATGTTCTTTTTCAGCACCACGCGGTACTGGCCAATGAAGGATGATGATGATGTGGGAGATAGGCAGACATGCAAACGGGGCATTGAATTTGTTTTCAAATACTCTAATTTCAGAAATTTTAGGTACAGAGAAGCAGTTCCCTATTGGATTATGTGTGATAGTAATAATATTGTTCGGTGTATTGAAATTAATGTTTAGGTATGAAACAGATGCACCGAAAATAAAAGTACACCGAAAATTTGTGAAATTACAGTAGAGTAAAACCTGTCAAGGCGCGACCACTCTGATTGGGAGACCACCTGTCTCAGGGACCACTACAGCTGGGACCAGGGGATGCTATTTTCAGTCAAGTGACCCCCGTCCAGGAAACCACCTGTACTCGCGCGACCCCGTTTTGAATTTCCCCTGCGTGGTCGTCTTAGACAGGTTTCACCATAAAGTGTAAATGCAATAAACGACTTACCGTCGTCATCATCCAGGTCAAATTCCTCTTCATCACCATGGGGTGGATTGGACGCCCAGCCTTTCAGCTCAGCCATGGCGGATGATCCGCTGCACAGCTTGACCGCCACGTTGTACTTTTCCGCGTCGTTTCCACCCACATGGATACCGAGCGCCGAAGCTTTCTTCCCGGCCTCGTCTAAGGTGTACAGCACACAGCCGCTCTGCCCAGTGCTGGAGTCGATATAATGCTTGACGAGCGCATCGTTGAACCCTTCCACACTGCCCGGTGCTTCTACCCAATACTTGCATTTCTTTGCAGGGCCCCAAGCGCCATTCGCGTAGATCCTCCCTGGAAAGCCGAGCAGGAACGAGTTTTTCTTCTTTTCAGTCGCATTTGGCGCAGCCTTCAACACCTTGCTCAAAGTCGTGAACGGAGCTGACATGGTGGTCTCCCTCGAGGCAGCAACAATGCCATAATCGTGTGGGAACCGATCTGCCTTGGCACTTTGCTTCGCATTCTTTTCGTACCATTCAGGCACCTTCAGCCACCCATCGGCATTCTTCTTTGTTATCCTTTTGGACAGAAACACAGGTGACGGGCCTTCACTAGTCTCCTGCCATTTCTCGATGATTTGCACCCACCGGTAGTCGCCGCAATTGTAGCAGTAAAGGTTGTGAGCCGCAGTGGCCAGGTAATAATACTCGCCAGATAGCCGGTTCAGGTCGTGCAGCAAAAACGCCGTCCCGCGGCCACTCTCGCCGCACTTCGCGCAGCCACATCGGATGTTGAACGTGGCGTGGTAGGGTGCGTGGTGCGGCGAGTCAACTGGCGGCTCGTTGGCGATTTTGCGATGATCGGTCGATTCAATCAGGATTTCCTCTTCAAACCCAGCATTGGAAGTCGCCATTGCTTCTGCCATGCTTCATCAAGAGAGTCGGTTTGCTACGAGGAAACGAACGGAGGCAAAACCAATACAGTGAAGTATTCAATCGATCGATCGTCGCATGCGCTTGCAGTACACTTTCGGTATGTATCACACACGCACAGGCTTTTGCAGTGATCTGAAGGTGACCCTGCGTAGATCTACGCGCCTGGGGAACGTGCTTGCGATGTAGACTCATGCGCTGCGTACATGCGTCTTGGCTGGCTCAAAGCAGATACTCAGTAAGCAGATACGCTTTGAGCAGATTCGCTGTCACGTCACGAAGCTCGTTGTGACGGATAGTCGTGTGACCGCCAGTGCTGCAGGAAAGTACATGATTGTTCTTGAACGAAGTAATTTACTTCGTTCAAGTATTAAAGGGGAAGTATACCCTAAAATCAAATTTTCACCAGTTGTAGTCTTCGGGGTGCTGAGTCGAATGGTCTTGGTCCGAGGAAGCTGAGACGCTCCCTTCCTACTTGAATCCCAATCGAACTCGCGCACTTCCACCGAAACTGGGTGACTGCGCCCTACTAGATGGGGATTTGTATGCAAAATGTCACTAAAAGCGCCATTTCGTTCTTATAAAAGCACGGATGACCGCGATTGGCCCATATGTTGTAGTCTTTTGGACGCTGAGTCGACTGGTTTTGGTCCGAAAAGGCTGCGATGCAGCGTTCCTCCTTTATTCCCAATCGAACATGGTTGAACAAGCGGTCACGTGCTCCTGCGTACGCCAGTCACCTGGTCACCGTGCCTGCAGGGTACAACTTACTAGCCTGTTTGACCTTTTTTGGGTGCAGTCCTGTCACTCGAGTTGAACTCGAGTTGAACCTTGGTGTGAAAGTTCTCGCCTGCTGGCGCGGTGACCAGGTGATTTGGGCACCCAGGAGCACGTGACCGCTTGTTCAACCATGTTCGATTGGGAATAAAGGAGGAACGCTGCATCGCAGCCTTTTCGGACCAAAACCAGTCGACTCAGCGTCCAAAAGACTACAACATATGGGCCAATCGCGGTCATCCGTGCTTTTATAAGAACGAAATGGCGCTTTTAGTGACATTTTGCATACAAATCCCCATCTAGTAGGGCGCAGTCACCCAGTTTCGGTGGAAGTGCGCGAGTTCGATTGGGATTCAAGTAGGAAGGGAGCGTCGCAGCTTCCTCGGACCAAGACCATTCGACTCAGCACCCAGAAGACTACAACTGGTGAAAATTTGATTTTAGGGTATACTTCCCCTTTAAGGAGGCTCCGAACAGTTGCGCAGCGCAGTGTAAAAAGGGCACCTCCAAAATCTGTTTTTTGCCGCGAGATTCAAAAAATATCGCGTTCCATGCGAAAACAAGCTGTTGTTCAGAAAGAAGTTTTTTGATTTCTCTGTGCTCGCAGTTGTTCCAGGATGTAGTTCTACTTGTTGCAGTGTTTCTGTAGCCGTGGCAGTTTCTACGCTGGAATGAATCACTGACCATGGATAATGCAAAACAAAGGCAGTTCCTACGCTGCTTGATTTTTTTCTGAAAACTTTGCTGAAGCGGTACGCGTTGGCCACAAAGAAGAAAGTAATTACTGACGAAGAAGGGTGAGAAAAGCAGGCTGAAGTCAGTGAAGACATCGATGTCGAAAGAAGTGATACTAGTACTGGTACTGGAATTTAGCATGGACTACCTGTGGAGCATGAAGTGGCTGCCCACTCGCTGGTAAGTGGACCCACTTGCAGCTCCAGTCGCACGAGTGCCGTTTGAAACTTTCGGTGGATCCTTGAGTATCCTGAGCTCAATGGATAACGTATCTCAGAGCTGCTGAACTTGGGCTGCTGTCCCTGTAGGAATGAGGTTCGTGTCAACCACTGTACTGTACTGATGGTGTAAGGAAAGCGCTGGCCAGAAGCTTGTGTTTTGAACCAAGGACGAACTTCTAAATCCTGCTCTTGTAAAAATGGGGATGCCGCAACTAAGATGTACACACTCAGGTGTACATTGGGTAAATAATGTCTATGGCTGAATATTTTGAATCTTTTCCTATGCGCAAGTGCATGCATTTATGTGTGTGTGTGTATGTGCGCGTGTGTACGTGCACGCACGCGCGCGTGTGTGTATGTGTGTGCAAGCTGTTGAAAGGCGTAATCCGAGCACAAGTTGCTATGTCTAACGTAGTTTCGCTATCCTCGCTTCAGCGGTGGGCAGGTGTATGAGTGTGTGTGTGTGCGCACATGTGTGTATGTGTGTGTGTGCGTGTGTGTGTGTGTGTGTGTGTGTGTGTGTGCGCACATGTGTGTGCGCGCGTGCTCGTGCCCGCACATGTGGGTTCGCATGCAATGTTGATCTGGGTTATGCACATGTTCCCACGAGTACACTGTGTGCATGTGCATGCAAATGTCTGCGTACATGTATGTGTGTATGCACGTGCGTGTGTGTGCATGCACGTGCGTGCGTGTGTGCGCATGCACGCGCGCGCATGTGCAAAGCTAGGTGTGGAAGGGGGGGGGGGGGGGGGGGGCTCACGGTGCTGGTTCTGTATAGCTCTATTCTCTGGTGTTCGCAAGGACAGTGTGGCAGTGGCTTTACAGTACAGGGGGTGCATGTGAATGCACATTTGTGAACCGCATTTGAGACACAAAAAAGAATTGCTAAGAGATCATGACAGTACACTACATGTACATGGTATGTGTGCACGCCAGCGTGTGTAGATGCATATTGCCCTTCACATACATTGTACATAGCGTATGTTTTTCTGGAGTCTGCTGCTATCAACGCACTGGCAAGTGACAACCAGCAAATGCACGCCCAGTGCAGTGGCTGGTCTTCATGCTTTTATTTACACTAAGTCCTACTATGGTCCAGTATGGACTAGTAGTGTTACAATGATGCGTGCATGAGAGTGCATGTGGGTGGGTGTTTACATGTATGTGCGTGTGTACGCGCACGTGTGGGTGTCTAGTGTGCCTGATTTTGAATGCCTGATTTCACATTATTCATGTGCCAGTTTCATGGTCGAGGTTGTTATGAAACCTCGCTGCCTTACATGTACACTACTCGTATATCAATGTGCTAGGACTGATGGCTACATGATGTACATGTAATGATACATGTACCTTTCCAACCACAGACTATCTGGTATGTCCAAAGGAGGTTGCAGCATGAAAATAACTTCTTCTAACATAATATTACCATACTACCATGTCATTGGTAGTGCTATGTAGTCAAGAAGGCAAGAATGGTCAGATTTTCTAAAAATGCTATTTTCAGAATGGGCCTAAAAATACCATAATTATTTTGATACCTATATTGTTTCGTAGGGGCCTAAAGTGCCTGGTGACACCATCAAAACTGTCCATTATCGGTTTCCTTGGGGCTCATGGATCACAGAAAGCCACAAAAATCGATATGTCCATGGACAAAATGTTGCAGGCGGAACCATTTCACAATTCAGCACACGATGGAAATTTCGGTACCCGTAATTTCGAAAAAGTGGCTCGCCAAGGGCAAAACCAAGACACAGTCTATCTTGTGTACCCAAGATACCTCCAAATGTGGTTCTTAAACATATGATGAAGAAAATGCTTAGTATCCTCCCTCCAGGAGCCTTCTTTGGGTCAAAAACCAATTTTTTTACCATTATTTTGCCGAAAATCAAGAAATTGTACACTCACTAAATACACCAGAATACCTCTTATATGCCTGGTGACCCTACCTAAAAACTATACCAAGTTGAAGAGGAGACATCACTCCACCATTCTATGCATAAAAAACACAGGGTGTCCATGGACCTTTTATTTTTACTTCTTTAGGTGGGAGCCTCCTTAATTAAGGCAAAAATCACCAGTTGTAGTCTTCGGGGTGCTGAGTCGAATGGTCTTGGTCCGAGAAAGCTGAGACGCTCCCTTCCTACTTGAATCCCAATCGAACTCGCGCACTTCCACCGAAACTGGGTGACTGCGCCCTACTAGAGGGGGATTTGTATGCAAAATGTCACTAAAAGCGCCGTTTCGTTCTTATAAAAGCACGGATGACCGCGATTGGCCCATATGTTGTAGTCTTTTGGACGCTGAGTCGACTGGTTTTGGTCCGAAAAGGCTGCGATTCAGCGTTCCTCCTTTATTCCCAATCGAACATGGTTGAACAAGTGGTCACGTGCTCCTGGGTGCCCAAATCACCTGGTCACCACGCCAGCAGGCGACAACTTTCACACCAAGGTTCAACTCGAGTTCAACTCGAGTGACAGGACTGCACCCAAAAAAGTCAAACAGGCTAGTAAGTTGTACCCTGCAGGCACGGTGATCAGCTGACTGGTGTACGCAGGCGCACGTGACCACTTGTTCAACCATGTTCGATTGGGAATAAAGGAGGAACGCTGCATCGCAGCCTTTTCGGACCAAAACCAGTCGACTCAGCGTCCAAAAGACTACAACATATGTGCCAATCGCGGTCATCCGTGCTTTTATAAGAACGAAACGGCGCTTTTAGTGACATTTTGCATACAAATCCCCATCTAGTAGGGCGAAGTCACCCAGTTTCGGTGGAAGTGCGCGAGTTCGATTGGGATTCAAGTAGGAAGGGAGCGTCTCAGCTTTCTCGGACCAAGACCATTCGACTCAGCACCCCGAAGACTACTACAACTGGTGAAATTTTAATTTTTGCCTTAACTTCCCCTTTAAGCTTGTCTGTAGTCCGAGACGTCATGCCATGGTCAGAACAGACTCAGCTGGCTAGATTTGTCAGTCGAGTCTGTCTGTAATCTGTAGCCAGTGTAGGTGTACTTCGGGATAGGCCGAGGACATTACCTCATTAGTAAACATTCATTCTGTTGTTGGAACCAGGGAGTCGTATAGACCCGGGAGGCGACACGCGCATCACTTGTGCACAACCATGATCGACTCAACGATTCAAAATATTACGACCTGCTCGGTGTGGGACAAGTCCGTACATAGGTCATAGCGCGCGGGAAATCCATACATAGCTATATATCGAGAAATCGTCGTCTTCGTCCTTTCGCCGAACAATTGTGGTCAGACTTTCGATCTCCATTGCCGAAATACAGCCATC